TCTGGGGGGGAACGAGGCTCCTACTATGAGTATTTTGGGGACCCCCTGACTCCCTACCTTCCAGCCAACCCCTCTTCCTTTCGCCTGGACCCAGCCACTGCCTCCGGATTTCCCCCAATTCCCATTCAGCCCATTGGCTTCGAGGATGCCAAAGTCCTTCTCTGGTGAGCTTGTGTCCTGGGGTCTCCTGCCCCTCATCCAAGGGCCTCCACATTTCTGCCCCCACACCCATATTCGCTCTGAGGCTCTCCGTCTTCTCCCCAGTAACCTCCAGGGACCCTCAGCCCAGGCTGACTGGCAGGGAGCACTGGGCTGTGACTACAAGTTGGGCCCGGGCTTTGAGCCTGGTGGTATGTTCGCAGGCAGGTGAGCTGGGCGCCTCCTCCCTCAACCCCTCTCCCCTCCCTAGTTATGCTTCCCTGACCTCGAGTTTCCCCTCTGCCCACATCAAGGCCTGGTCTTTCCCTTAGTTCTCTCCCAAGCCCTCCCTTGACTCCAAAATATCTGTCTTGTCTTTGGGGAACCTGTGAGACAGCCGTGTGGCCCACAAGTCCCTGTGGGGTACCCCTGCTCTACCTCAGGTTCACTCTTGTTACCAACTGTGTGATAGACAGAATTCTCAGATGATCCCAAGTGACCCTTGCCTTTGTGCAACCCATATCCATTTGAGGGTGAGTGAAATCTGTGGATATGTTACATTATATGGCCAAAGAGATTTTTGCAGATGTAAATAAGTTCTAAAATCAGTTGACTTTAAGATAGGGACATTATCCAGGTAGGCCTGACCCAATCACAAGAGCCCATTCAAATCTGGGTTTTGAGATCAGAAACACAGAAGTCAGTGAGATTTGAAACAGGCATGATTAGATGTGCTGTTGCTGGCTGTGAAGATGAAGGGAGCCACATGGAAAGGAAGGCAGGTGGTCTCTAGTTGCTGAGAATAACCCCAGACTACAGCCAACAAATAAATGGGAACTTCAGTCCTGCAACTACGAGGAATTAAATCCTGTCACAACCAGGTAAGCCTGGAAGAGGGTTCCAAGCTCCTAATGAGATGTCAACTTGGTTGACATTTTAATTTCAGTTTTGAGAACCTGAGCAATAAACCCAGCCACACGCTGGTGGACTTCTGACCTACAGAATGGTGATCTGGTACATAGATGTCGTTTTAAGCCCTTAATTTGTTACAGTCTGAACTTTAGACAGCAGAGTGTTTGCGAGCTGGGGGGCAGAGGAGTTTGGTCTCATTGGCTCCACAGAATTCACGGAGGTGAGTGTGCCTCCAGGGCAGGCGATCAAGGGAATCGCGGGCCGGGCAGGGCCAGGCTGACGCCGCCCCTCCCCGCAGGAGTTCTTCTGCAAGCTGCAGGAGCGCGCCGTGGCCTACATCAACGTGGACATCTCGGTGTTTGGTATGGGGGAGACTGGGTTGCCTGGGGAGGGGGCAGATAGAGGGGCTGGGGTCGGGGTAGATCCCTTCTCTGGTTCCCCCACAGCCAACGCCACCCTGAGGGCGCAGGGGACGCCCCCCGTCCAAAGCGTCATCTTCTCCGCAGCCAAACAGGTGAAGGGGGCAGGGCGTCGCCTATTGTATCTGAGGTATCAGGAATCCTTTTTTTCCCTAAATGAAAATGGCAAACATAATTAAAAGTATGGAGAATAGTATAATGAACCCCATATTCCAATCATCCTAATCCACAATTATCAAGAGTTTGTTGTATTTGTTCTATTGATCCCTTTTTTAAAATTTATTTTGCCAAAGTATTTTAAAGATAGCATGCCATTTTATTCCTATACACTTAATCTGCATCTCTAAAATATATGAATGTTTGCTTATATAATCATAATGCCAATATCACATCTAATAAAATTTACAATTCTTCCTTAGTGTCCTCTCTCA